TGGTTAGGGACATCAACACCGTAATCCTCGGAGGTCTTAAACAACGCATTTCGTTTGCTTTTGAAACAGCGCTGCATAGTTGAGGATAACATTTGATAATACTTCCTATCATTTCTACAGAATTCCCAAGCAGTTCTCCAAAAGTGATGGCAGTAATTAAAAAGAAAAGACGGAAGGAATAAATAATACACCCCAAAAGTTACATTTAATCATCTTGCGATTTCAGCATTATCGATGGAAACAGACACCAGCAAGGCACGTGTTTTGCGAGCGTATCTCCCGGGTCATTTCTGGGTATCCGCTTTATCCATAATGTAAAAATTTAACACAAAAAGATGTACACAGCCGCTCCTGGGGAGTCAAAAATATAAAATGTGTACAACTAGGATGACCTAGAAGGCCTACAATATTTTCTTGTGTGCAAATACCCGCGATCCCCTCCTCCGAAAGCTGTTTAACCCGCTAAAAATCTCTCATGACCTAATCCCTGTGATAAAATTTTGGGATGTAACACTGTTACGGACACATCCACAGCTCTTAAATAACCCTTAAAGAATTCATCTGATGTGGATTTCCAGCATCAGACATGCATCTTTGTCTCTACAAATAGCAAAACTCGTCAAACAAGACGTCAACAGCCCCATTGCAGTGTAATCCACAACCCGCAAAAGGATGTAAATCTTTGGGTCGAAATCCTCTTTTCTGTCGCCCTAATCCCCCCGCGGTCTGAGGAAAACGGGTCGGCTGATAATATTAAACCCGAAGTCTTAATTGACGTTGGTTGACGCATCACCGGATTTGGCAATGAATGGTACGAATATAGAGAAAGAAATTGGGAGGTAGCTTAAATTAGAACGAACATACGACTAAACCCGAAGCAGACAACGTGGGCGGTAATCGAGATTTAAGTTGTTCCAATTATACTTACAAAGGAAACCAGAAAAGTTGTCGAATTCGGGGACGATGACCAATATTTGGAAATTGTCCAGGAATGGAATATACAAGTGATTACGAAGTCTTGTTGAAAATAGTTAACTAATCCACAGCACTTGTAGATGATTTACAGAAACGAAGAAGAGATTCTTACGCAAAAAATGTAAAAATCCGGTGTTGCAGTAAATACTGTTTTAGTTTTTATACCGGAAGTACTCATGGTATCCTCTTAAAGGATCACTTTTGTTTTAAAGCCATTTCCCCCAGTCCTGTTTTTAACCAGGACTTTTTATGAATCCAAGATCACTCCAAATCTATTGTCTATGGCACATAAAGAGAGAGAGACGTCAATGGAACCCAGATCTCGCAAATAAACGGTGAGCCGGTACGAGTAAACGGAGTTAATCCCGCGGCCACAAATATTTTCCTAACCAGTATTCGAGAGGACAATCGTATAATAAAGGCAATAAGGAGGAAAACACAGTGATTAGCAGAGTGCGGATTACTGTAATTTGAGGCCAGACTGAGGTTCGAACAGACATGGATAACAATATAAATTATAAAAAATGGATACAATATGTATACTCTCGCAAAGCTTAAACAAATCGGAGATAGTGCCCACACGAATGTAAATCGATAATTTACAGGACGTCGGAGCATGGTCTTTGTTTCAGCCCCGTAATTGTTTTTTCGAAGCTACGCAGCAAACTGAAATTGTTTCTTCCGGTAAAAAAGAAATGTTTTGCGCGAGATCCGCATAAATACAAAAAACCTGAACTCATCGCTGTTTTTGTGACTCGGAAGAGAACTCCGTTTCATAATATTAAAACGTTTCAGTTTCAAACCGGGATATCTGAACAAAAAAGGGAAGATTACCGGAGATCGAAAGGACAGAACTTGAAACAAATGCTTTGTTAGAGTTATATAACCTGTAACAAGACTGCGGTCGAATATTTGGTTTCCAAACAGTTAAAAATTATTTATGAGAGGTATTGGTCATCATTACCAACAAGACCCCGGATTTAGTGTGAATTATAAATGGTAAAGTCTGGATCCCTCCAGAATTCTTATTCTTCTCTCCTGAAACCTTCCCGAACTCAATTCAAATTAGCAATTAACCCGCTGATCTAAATTAAACTTTCACTCAAACCCAGAACGAACCCAATTTGTCTTCCTCGAAAGTTGATCGCGTGATCTCCAGCTGAGGATATTATAATAGAGACTGGAATGGGCTTCCAAAATAGCGGATCCGATTACCAATATTTTTGACACGACATTAATGTGGCCTCAAGACAAATGATCCGCCCTTAATGGCCATGGGGACGGCCATTCATCATGTAATCCAAACTCTCTTTAAACTTGTGACATTATTTTCCTTGGTTTTAGAACTCATAAAATACAGTACTCTAACTTTTCATTAAACTTTCAACTCCATCTGCCATAAGATACCCCCTCAAATTGCAGTAATCCAACTTAAAATCACATCAGACGACGTACGGCCCATGGTAATTCCCATGACCAGACATAAAATCCTTGCATTTTGCACACTAATTCTATTAAACCAGCAGTAAGAATCCTTAACCAGTAATCCCCAACACAACGTCAAGTATTAACTGGTTATTATACTTCCTTTCCGAGAGATTTGTCCCAAAAAGAATTAATATTCATGGAATGAAGAAGTGCCATGCAACACTTGCGGCAACAGAAATGGCGTTTGAGAGATTAACTTAGTTATTGGTTTGGAAATATGAGGGTTATTCGACCGTTAAAGAGAGTTATTGGACATGGAGTACCGTAAGAAACAAAGTTAAAAAACACTTTATTACTCATGGCTAAGCAGAGATAACTAAATGATAATACGATAACATAAGAGAACTTTATGCATATTACAGTAGTCACCCCCGATCTAATCCAATCATCCCGTCGCACACCCCCCCCTTGGTTTAAAAACACGTTTTGTCAAATATTAAAATTTCAAGAGCATTTTTCCGGAAAGGAATCCTTTCGATCAGTGCAAACATTTCTGGGATCGCGCATCCCCCCTTTCCTGTCTCTACCCCCGTCAAATTTCCCCCCAAAAAATACACTTTTTGAGTTTTTTAACGCGCCTAAAACGATTATGAAGAGAGTCGAAACGGTTTTGTTTACATTACCGTGAGTGAGTAAGGGTATTCGTATACCTTTACTTCAAACCGGGAAATCGGAGCGCGGCTGCTGGATTAGACATTAGCCGGAAACAAAGTGATCCCACCCCGATCACTGTTCGGCCGCGTGTTGGAGACAGCTGTTCTTGAGGGAGAATGAGAAGATCATCATCAAGGACGATCAAGCAACGTAAATTCAAGATACATATAACGAGATCACAGTGACTTTGGCGGAATCATCTGTTTTGAATTGAGATAAACAGGGTAACCCCAACCCAAACCTCCCTCTTCCCTTATAATACCCCAACTCGGAACGGCAACCTTCAATTCAGCCGCAAATCCCGTAAGAAGTAAGTGAAAAAAACGTTTATAAAGAGAGAGTTCATCGCCCTCCACAAAACTCAAACCCCAAACCTGAGATCAGAATGGGGAATCTGATGTTCTCCGCCCCGAAATACCCGGCAATCAACCCCTAACCGCCGGCTAAACTGTCGAAACTCGGCGCAGTTAAAAAGTAAATTCCTCCATAAAAACCAAAAGGTGCGGTTTCTTTGTTTCCGGCTCAAATAAACGAAAATCATGCCCTCAGGGCCGCACCTTAAACCCTCCGAACTCGATTCGGAAATGCGCGGTGGAGATCGGGGATCCGAGTCAAGGTTAGGATTTTTAAAGCCGAACATCAAAACCTAGATTTTCTAGAAAAAATCCAAAGTGCACACAAAAATCAAACTCTGAATTATGCAAATTTTAAGAAGCTTTGGGTGCGCCGCATTCGCTCATTTATTCAGTTTTGGCCCTTCGCCAATCACCGGTTTGAAGCCATTCTTGGAATTTCTAACGGATTCATTTAATTTTCTCGTAAGTTTGAAATAATACACTGCTCCACGAAATGATAGACGCACCCTGTTTTTAGCGATTATCTTCCTTGTACTAAATGATATCGAATAATGTTCAACAGATGAAATGTGACAAATTAAACGAGAAATCATGCCCCGCAGCAATTTTGGAACAACATTTTGTCTTGACTGAGATATGACAATTTTCGACTTTTTTGGGGTCCACAAAATGATAGACGCAATTAAGTAATTTTTTGTTTATTTAAAAGAATTTTGAGTCAACCTGCTGTTATTACACTTCCTCGTGTTCTCTGTAGTATTAGAAAGGTATTTACATTTATATCCGCCGTACTTCATCGACGGAGTGGCCTTATGAGCCATTTCCGACCTTGTACATGAGGTAAATATTCGGTTTGAAAAAAACTGTAGGTTAGGCCGTTTTCTTGGGCGAAAAACTAGCTAACACTATTAAGATTATACGTGTAGATCTCACTGATGAAAAAAAACGGCTTGCTCAAGGATCCCAAGGATTTTCTTGGCATATCATCTTCAACAAGTAGCTACCTTAATACTTTTAGACCCCCGAAATAACAAGGCGAATAAAGAGAATGGCAAAATTTGATTTGCAAATTCGAACGGAGCATGCCTTAAAACGTAATGTTTTAATCATCAGCCGTTACAGAATAAATTTGGTCGGTAACGTCGTTCGACAAAAAAAAGTTCACAAAAATAGGCTTGTTTTTACACGTTTATCTTTAATCAATCATCTGTCAATCACCATGACATTTAAGCAGGCAATAAGTTGCGGTTTTAGGTTTGTTAACATGCTGAGTTTAATTTTCTGAGCAAAAAATTGCCATCGATAGTAATCTTCTGTACCTTTAGAGCCTTTGAAGGTTACTGTAGAAGGTATACGGTAACTTAATGGTCGATTAAATGACTTCAAGCGAATCGGTATTGGTTTATTTTATGTCTTATATTTGCTACTAGTAATCTATGATGGTTTAAGATGGTTTTTTGGCGAAAGCCAACTCGTTAATCAATTTTTTTTTCAAACCGAATATTTACCTCATGTACAAGGTCGGAAATGGCTCATAAGGCCACTGCGTCGATGAAGTACGGCGGATATAAATGTAATTACCTTTCTAATACTACAGAGAACACGAGGAAGTGTAATAACAGCAGGTTGACTCAAAATTCTTTTAAATAAACAAAAAATTACTTAATTGCGTCTATCATTTTGTGGACCCCAAAAAAGTCGAAAATTGTCATATCTCAGTCAAGACAAAATGTTGTTCCAAAATTGCTGCGGGACATGATTTCTCGTTTAATTTGTCACATTTCATCTGTTGAACATTATTCGATATCATTTAGTACAAGGAAGATAATCGCTAAAAACAGGGTGCGTCTATCATTTCGTGGAGCAGTGTATCATGGCGATTCACTTTAAGTTGCAAACTCGTTTAAATTGCGGTTGCGAGGATTCAAGGAGGAGATGCCATCGAAGGAGGAGATTGTGAAGACGTGGTTGGCTGCCAATACCTCAGCGAAGACCGTCGAGAACCATCGAGCTGACTTTGCGGCGTTGAAAAAGAATCTGGATCCAAATGATTGCAAGGTAAGCCGATGATAAGCATAATGAAACGTCCCTTCTCTCCCTTTAGGCGTTCTTAGCTCAACCCCAAGGAACTCGCAACCGCTATCGCGACGTCGTTTGTCTGGATGCGAGTCGAGTGAAGTTGAAGGGAGTTGAGAATGATTACATCCACGCCAATTATGTGAGCACTCCACAGGATGAGAATAGATTCATCTGCACACAAGGACCCACCGACTCTTCTTGCACCGATTTCTGGCAAATGATCTGGCAAGAGAAAGCGGGTGTGATCATCATGTTGTGCAACTTCACTGAGAAAAGTGTAAAAAAATGCGCCGAATATTTCCCGATCGGCGCTGGAAAGAGTGTTAGCTTCGGAAAATTCAAAATCAACTGCACTAGTCGAGCGGAAAACGTAAGCAAACTTAAATGAAGAAGACGTTGAAACTTCAGATGAAATACGAATACTTTCCCAATTTCTGCGCTGTTAAAATCGCCGTATCCAACTTGACGGTGTGCAAGGACAAGGAAAAGATGGAAGTCCAGCACTTTCATTGGATGGACTGGCCTGATCGAGGTGCACCTAAAGGCGATCTATCGGCCATCTCGCTTCTTCTTCAGGTCAACAGAACCAAGTGAGTCGATGGTTTAGTTCCCTTTCCTTTATGGTAGATCGGGTGTCGGCCAAACATTTGTATCCGATGAAAATTTTTTTGACAAGCCAGCTAATGGGGATCAGGGTACTCCGTGTACACGCGTGTTCACACCGGGGGATAGTTCACCCATCACCAAGCTCGCAACCTACGTACGTCATATTATCAAAATGGCCAGACTAGATGATTAGAGAGTCACTTTGTTTGGACTCAACAGTCACCTATTTCGTGAGCTTTTACAGAAGCCCAAGCAAGCGCAAGTCCAATGCAGGGAAAAGATCAAATGGTAACCTACGAGCTGCGCCCTAGGTAGATCATGGAGTCTTCCCGAATTGTGGAGTACACCATGGCCGTAAGTAGTTGTAGTTCAATACCATTTCTTGATAACTTTTTATGCAGATTGAACTTCTATCTAGCAAAGGGGGGTCTGTCGAAGTTGGGATAAGTTCAGGGTGGCATGTTTAATCGTATAAAATGGGAAAATGCAGTCTGTGCCGATTTAAAGCAAGGAGTCAGTATTCAAAGTAGAACGTACGAAACTAGGTAAAAGAAGGTTGAATAAAGCCTGAGCGCCGTATTTTAGCCAATTCAGACCACTTTCGGCCAAGCTACAAGGGGTGGCCAATCTGCGGAACTTTTACCAAAAATGCTTTCAGGAAACCGATTGTTGTCCATTGCTCGGCTGGCATTGGCCGCACCGGCTCTATTGTGATGTTGGAATACATTTACGAATTATTTGAGTCCGGGAAGGATTGCGAGAAATTGGACCAGATCTTGGCCAAGATCAGAGAACAACGCGCCTTGAGTATCCAGGTAAAATATATACAAACGATGACAAGGGATTGTCGTGTTTAAAAATTTTATCCTTTTTTGTAATGATTTAAAGATATCCAGTCAAGATGCAAATCTTCTGCTACTTCATATTTTTGTTATTTCAGAACGATCTGCAATACCTGTACGTGATCCGAGTGATGTTGGAATTCTTTGTCCGCACCACCCCTCTTACAGCGCAGCAAGTGGAAGATGTGAAGAAGTTCCTGGCCGATTATCGACAATTAACTGGTGAATAAAAGATCTGAAGCTACATCCAGAACTTATCTTTGATGCAATAAATGTGTGAGACCGAATTTCTCTTTGTTTTGTACTCCGAGATGGATGTCCGTTTTCTGTTTCCGGTTCGCTGCAAATGTCTCAAGACATTCTGAAGACTACAATCAGATGCAGATGTACTCTACACTTCAGAAGGGCCCCTCTGAAGAGCCTCGTGATATTTTGGGGGAGCCTCTCTGTAATCATAGCCGACGTTTGCGTTCGAACCGCAGAGATATTACACTAGCTGCACTTTCTGGTCATATCGAGAGCAGCTTTCAGTCTTTGTGTCTTCAAATGTCATCGCTTAAAAGTACATCATCATTCAATTACACTTGTAGTTTAGGCAATATACGATGAAAATAGCCGCATAAAGAGAGAACATTACGCAACAAAAGGGCTTGTTTATGTGTTGAGAAAGAGATCGATGTGCTGGTCGCGAAAAGTGCATTGTACAGTACAATTTAGAAAAAGTAAGATTAAAATTTGCATGAGAATCAACGCCAAATAAGCGAATTTGCATAGTATTTGATTCGATGGTCAAAATCGGTTCTTTTTCTCATTGCAACAAACGCTCTAAGCGAAAGTCAGTAGATCTCCGACGCTTCCAAGATGATCTGGCCGATCCTGGTGACGTTGATGTCATCCGTCTTGGCAGCGTTGGCTATTCAGATACAATGTTCCAAGAAGAAAACGGCACAACCTGCGACACCCACTGGCACCGACAGTAAGTTCTCGTGGATGACATACGTCGATTTAGATTCTAAACCTGCGGACAGCACAAGTCAAGCTGGAAGTGCCGCTCCAGAAGCCGTTGTCAAAGAGAAAGAAAAAGAAAAAGAAAAGCCGAATTCAAGTAAAAAAGAAGACAAACAAGACGACAAACCAAAGGCTAACAACAAGGTTGGAGTTGCCGACACCCATGATCCCAATTATCAGGTACCTTTGTTTTTATAACATGTAACTGAATATGTTCAGACGATGGCTGGGATGGTTGATAACTTTGGTGAGGACAAAAAGAAGAAAGAAAAGAACGACGATGGAAAGCCCAAGGCGCCAGAAGCCGGCGGAGTTATGGCCGACACCCATGACCCCAATTATCAGGTAAATAAAATCGGTCGAGGCAAGTTTATTCATCTTATTGTAGACTCTTGCTAATGTTGAGGACAAATTTGCAAAGAAAGATGGAGCGGGACCTGCAGCTCCGGCTGATAAGGGCGTGGCCGGAACACATGATCCGAATTATCAAACTTTGGCCAACGTTGGAGATAACAAAGAAGTCTTTGGAAAGGATAAGAAACAGGATGACAAGGATAAAGTCAAGGCTCCGGAAGACAAAGACAAGAAGGCAGGAACCCATGATCCTAATTATATGACAATGGCTGGCTTGGCAAAGAATGATGAGGTCTTTGGAAATGATAAGAAGGACGAAAAGAAGAAGGACAATGATAAAAAGAATAAAGACGAGGATAAGAGTAAAAAAGAGGAGGAGAAGAAGGAGGGAAAGGATGCTCCAAAGGCCCCGGAAGACAAGAATAAGAAAGCCGCGGTCCAGGATCCCAATTATATGACGATGGCTGGGCTGGCAAAGAATGACGAAGTGTTCGGAAATGATAAGAAGAATGAGAAAAAGAAGGACAAAGAGAAGGGAGACGATGACAAGAAGAAAGAAAAGGAGAAGGACAGCAAGGGAGAAGACGACAAGAAAAAAGAAGAGAAGAAGGACGAAAAAAAAGAGGACAAAAAAGAGGTAAGTTGCTTTTGTTTTTATTGTATTCTGAGCTGTTTATTTATGTTCGAATTCAAGGAATCTCTCTTAAGAGTACATTTTGTAATTAAGTTTTTAATTTTCTAGATTAAAGCACCCGAGGATAAGAACAAAAAAGCACACACACATGATCCCAACTACATGACCATGGCAAACATGGGAAAGAATGATGAGATTTTCGGAAAGGGCAAGAAAGAGGACAAGAAAGAAGAAAAAAAGGAGGAAAAGAAAGAAGAAAAGAAGGATGACAAGAAGGAGGTCGGTTAAATCATATTACTTTACATTAATTTTTTAAAGTAGTTTCAACCGGGATTTTTTTCTTGTTTGGGATGTTGTACTCTGCCTAATGCAGGTATTTGTAGTCGAGATATAATAACTGGTAGGGCCTTCTTGAAGGGGAAGTATCCCAAGTACGACGATCGTATTTTGAAGAAACTTTGCACAAGTTTAGGTTATTTTTAAGGCATCTGCGAGACTTCTACCTCGCGCTTTGTAAAAATAACCTCGATTTTTATGTCGTAAGTTGGTGAAAATATTATTTTTTTGTGAATTTTGGCCTAAAAGGTTTCATACGCGTTTCTACCGTAGACTGCAATTTTTCCACAAAAAAATCAATTTTTCCATACTGTATATGACACCGCTGGCAGTCCCAATCGTCTTTAAATATTTGTAGAATAGAAGGCTGCAAAAGTTCTGTAATCTTTCTTGATGAAAATATTTTTGTATTGATTGCCCAGTACCCTGTATATTGTACATGACAAAAAAGCCTTGATCTCTTTCAATTCCCAGCCCTTTTGTGCTCCCCGAATGTCAGATGGCGTCATGTGATTGTAATTGTCCCAGGCGTTTTATTTCATTTACGTTTTGTCACAGCGATAAAAGGGCATGAGCTTTAATTGGGAATGCGGGGTCATCGGCAGTTCTAAATTGTATTTGTTTACATTGTATGCGAGTCAAACCCCTGAGGGCATGAAGTCGGGATGTTGGATGAGGCTTACGTCATTCTCACGTTTTAATTTTAGGAGATGAGCAGGCCAATAAATAGTTTTATTTTCAGATCAAGGCCCCTGAGGACAAGAATAAGAAGGCCCATACTCACGATCCCAATTACATGACCATGGCTAATATGGGCAAGAACGACGAAGTGTTCGGCAAGGATAAGGTGAAGGACAAGAAGGACGAGAAAAAGAAATAAAGATTATATTATACATGACTTATAGCCCATTAAATCCGATTTTGTAAACTTAGGAGGTAGGAAGTTGCAAGAGATAATTAATTAAAATTTGGTGTGTAAAACCCGATGTATTTTTATTGGAAAGAGGTTTATAGTACTGATGTTAGAGATTAAGGAAACGCGTGAACATGAGTGCTGGTTTAAGAAATCAGGTCCTGGAAAGCACTTTTAAATCCACATTTCTTTTCGTAAGAAACGTAAGATTTCTTTGGCAGGAACAAAGATCACCAAATTTAGGTTACAAACAGTGGAGGAAAAGAGAAAATATTCAATCTTTCCATCTACCAGACACAGTGTAATTTACCGAAATATATCTCTGCCCTCCCTTTCCTCACACTTTCTTCAGTTTTGAGGTGTCTAATGTATTCAATATGGCAATGTTGTTGGCCTTGCTTCTGCATATGTTCGTATCCTCTTTCATCCGCACAATAGCTGCCTCAGGCATTGAATGTTTCGTAATATTGTTTCGTACAGAAACAGTTGGATATATACTTTTTTGGAGCGGATCTCCATGGCGACTTTCAGGACAAAAGGTCGAGAAAGGAGCGGGCCATCATTCTGGAGGACATTATGTTATTCTGGGTGGTCATTTCTGTTATTTTCGAACGCTGTTTGGCGAAATATGTGGAGAAAACGACAATTACAAGTATCACGATCACCGGGCACTGCGTTGAAGATGAGTTTCATTTCAAATGCGAGAGCGGAAAATGTATTCCGATGTATTGGCTGTGTGATGGAGTGGCCGATTGTCCCGATAAAGATGATGAAAACCACGCAAAATGTCGGCCCAAACCTTGGGGTGCCCCTGATCACAAATTTGGTGGGTCCCCTGCAATTTTGATGTTTCTGCAGTCTGTTTCTCTTTAGATCTTTATCTAACATCTAAAAGTAAAAGTTGTCTAAAGTAGAGGCGACAATTGGGCCGGTCCGATTTTCGGGTCAAGGCGCGGCCCGATTGTCACCTATACTGTAAAGTAATCATTCTTTGATCTTCTAAAGTGTCATTCTGAATTAGGCTGTTACTTTGGATAAACATTTACAAATACACTCTGTTTCAAAATGACAGAAGCGCATAAAATCAGTAATCAGAAATCAGTTTTTGAAATATTCTGAAAGGGAGTTTGTAGAAAATAAAATACTACCAATCAAAAATTTTGCAAAGGTCTGCCCCATACATCTATGCTTTCAGCTTTAACGTACATTCAATCAGGCTCTAGAAACTTTGTTTTGAAGTGTCAAAAAAATGGCGGAAAACTTTTGAATCAACCTAATAAATATAATAGTTTCTTATTGAATTTCCTGTTTATAGTTCGAGGAGGCTGTCCGGCGCGTCAATTCGAATGCAAGGATCTTTTTGGAAATATAAGATGTGTCCTGGAGGAATGGCTATGTGATAATCAACAAGATTGTGCGGACGGATTGGACGAAATGTATTGTAATATAAATTCAACCACAGAACAATCAGAAAAAGAGACTGATCCAGTTGAAAAGCAAAACAAAATAATTCCAAGCTTGAAGATGTCCCCTCAACAATCTACAGTCTCATCTGCAGCCAGTAGAAGATCGTGCAATGGAAATGAATACGAGTGCTCGAATGGGGCTTGTATCGCTAAGAGTTCGTTGTGTAATGGCCAGAAAGAGTGTCCAGATGGAGGGGACGAGATGTTCTGTGCAACTACTGCAAAGGGTGAGTCTCTACCGTAAAATTACTCTAAAAAAGTGCGAAATTTTTGATCGTTTACATTTGTTGCACGAGTATTTGTGAGCAGATTCGTAATGAGCGAAGATTCGACGGGGTCTTGGCCTTTTCCCACATTTGTGTTCACAAAAATGGCTGACATATCGTGCAAAACATACACCTGATATTTGAGGATTGTTTACAAGTCTCTTTGTGGCATTACAGCGACCACAGTAAAAGTACAAGCGAAGGCCGTTACAAAGTTTGCGAAAGAATTAAGGGTTTTTGTCCGGGTCATGGGTTTCTTTTGTTCTGATGTCGTGTTAGTGCGGGGTTTACTGTAGGTCGGAAAATGGCGTAATTCCCCCCGAGATTTGCATGCAAAACAGCGTGCCATTTGAAGACCTTCTTCGTTAAGTCTCCAATTTTTATTGAGGGTTTACTGACCATTACGTAGTAAAGGCTACCATTCAAGACTACTAATTACAGCCTTCCGATTACTCATATTTCGTGACATTTCCCGAAGATTCGTAGTTTTTTGTACCCATTTTTTTGGAATTTGGGCTCTTTTTACGATTCCCTAAGGCTGTATTACTGTAAAGGAGAGCAGAATAACCGGTTTACTTTTTCGATTGCTTGCAGTAGAAGTTTGATAAATGATTTCCCCAATTTTTATTGTGGTTTGTTTTTGTTTTAATTGTATTTCTCGCGAAGTAACCTGTTTGCAGTCAAAGTTTACAAGATTGTATTATATTTGTCTGAGAGTTTCCGTAAAACCACCCTCACAACTTTCCGAAGCCACCCTCACAACTTCAATATGCAGTGAGAAAGAGAGTTGTTGTTGCTACAATTGCTTTTTCTAAAAGTTTTTGTTTAGTTAGTCCAGTCAATCCGTCCAATCAGCAAGCTCCAGTGAGTCCCTCAAGTAGATCTAGTTCCTTATTCTCCTCAAAAAAGGCGTCTACAACAGGTTTAAGCCCAGTGAAATCGGTCTCCCACAATATTCTCGCCTTGCCCAGCCTATTTTTGCCTGTAACCCAGAAATCAAAGGCTGAATCAGCCTCTCCTGCCAATATTGTCTCCACACTGGACACTTCTCAAACCGTCAGTGCCATCGCTAATAAGCCAATCAGGATCCATTTCTTCAGCCATTCCACTAAGAAGATGCCCACGACGTCAACAACACAAAAAACTTTGTAGAAAGTGCGTATTATTAGACATAGTACCCAGTAAACAAGCCGTTGTTATTGTTTTGGGCCTAAAGTACGGGACAGATGTTGCTTTTGGCTGGCCAAATGAGGTCGAGTACAAAAGCGACAGCCAGAAGCGACTCCATGACGACGTCACAACTACATTGACACTAAACTCAGAGTGCTGCGGAGATTGTAGGAGTTTGTAAAAAGTAGTGGATGAATGGAGTTTGTATTGTCGCGATATCCCCCAAATCAACAACATCAAGTGTAAAAAAACCCTACAATCAATTAAACTCTTAATTGTAAGGCAATTGTAGAACGGCGCACTTTGTCGCCGCGTCGCCGTTTATTATTTGGACCAAAAAGACGGATAACATATTTTCTTAAATCTACAGTAATCAGAGGGAGGGATGCGATCGGAAAACGACACTTACACTAAAAGAGTGCATAGAACAATGAGGATATGCACTCTAGGAGGAGTTTGATAATGATTTTTGGAGGGCGTTTAACCTTGATTTCATCTTGATGACGCAACAATTGAACCCGTACGAAGTGATTTCAAATTCCTTGGGGTCCCTTTTTGCGTTAGGATCCAGAATTATTCACGCAAAGCACAAGAAATCACGAGAAATTACGACAGTAATTTCCAGTATATATTTGTCATGAGACGGGACACTTGCGTTTACATTTAGTATCTGCACTTATGGCACACTGTTGTAGACATATACAATCCACTGTTACATCTCCCGGGGTTTCTGTAACTTGATTATAACTCTCACAAATAAGTGTTCTGAAACCTTTAAGGGGTTTAATTATTAAAAGTACACGCTCCGTGTTAATGTCTAAGGTTTATATTTAAAATGCCCAGAACTCAGGGATTTCGTTTTCCCCCTGAAAGAATCAATCGATTTGCAACATTCAAAGAAATTTTTAAAGATTGCGGTATTTATTAATGCATAAATACGGCATAATGCAGCTGTAGGACTTCAATTAGGTTATCCGGGACAGTTTCCGCATAAAATAATGGAATTAGAGTTGGTGGTGCTAAAACAAGGTCTAAAAAAGAAGTATTTTGCAAGGGGTATAGTCTTCAGTAACTTCTGTGGTAATTTAGGACCGGATTACTCATATTACATTACACCAAATACGTCTACTTGATTGTATAGACGTATACGCACCACCCGGGTAATTTCACAAGGGAATGGTCTGAACTTCCCCCAGCGTTAAGGAAAATGACTATTACAGGTGGATAGAGCAGGTCGACTTTGGTAGAAAAAGGCAATTTCCAGCTGCAAAATAAGCACCGCCGACGAGAAAAATCGACCGAAAGTTCCGAAAAAATTTCCTCTTTCTCTTCCCTCGGAAAAGAAGAGGAGCATCCAGTGGTTCGGTTGGTCGAGTGGATAGAGCGTCTGCTCGATATCCTTTTGGGGGTTGGTTCGATTCCGGGGCAGCGCGAGTGACTATGATAAGGCTTCAGTCACCAAGATAAATTCTTTTGAACCAAAAAAAATATTTTGCAATTTTTCGATTTTCTAGAGATCATAAAACACATAATAATAAAGGGTTTCTATGTAAATTCCTCCATTTTTTCTGTAAGATTCCAAAACGGTTCCAGTCATATTCAGTAATCTAGTCATGGACTGTCTGATTTCCGAACACTAGTGGACGTTTGTCAAAACCCCCGATGTGCTCAAGTGCTCAAGATGTGCTTCAGTTTTCTTCTTATTGGAGTATGATTGGGAACGTTCTGGAATCTTCTAGAAAAAAAATTGGCGGAATTTACATGGAAATCCTTTTTTTATGTGTTTATGATCTCTAGAAAATCTAAAAATTGAAAAATATTTTTTTTTTGGTTCACAAGAGTTTATCTTGGTGACTGAAGCCTTATCATAGTCACTCGCGCTGCCCCGGAATCGAACCAACCCCCAAAAGGATATCGAGCAGACGCTCTATCCACTCGACCAACCGAACCACTGGATGCTCCTCTTCTTTTCCGAGGGAAGAGAAAGAGGAAATTTTTTCGGAACTTTCGGTCGATTTTTCTCATCGGCGGTGCTTATTTTGCAGCTGGAAATTGCCTTTTTCTACCAAAGTCGACCTGCTCTATCCACCTCTACTAGTCATTTTCCCAAACGCTGGGGGAAGTTCAGACCATTCCCTTGTCAATCATCCGGGGTGTCTCTAATCATGAAGATGGTGACTTTCAGACCCTCAATCTCAGAAAATAGTGATCACAAAGTTTTTGCTTTATTGTTTTCACACGATCCTGAAACTCCTGTAGTATCCAATTTCACCCAGTTAAACCCTGAGCGTTTAATCTCCATTAAGCTTCTTCTGGGTGCAGAGACCGAGTGTAGAAACTGTATTCTTCGCTTGCACCCAGATTTAAAGTTCAGATTAGTCATCAGTTATCGAGTTGAGTGGCTAAAAAGTCCATCCTGACGTCCACGAAATCAGCTTTTCCTCAGGGATTTGAACGTTTTTAGACATTTGAAACGCTTACTGTTCTGACAAACAGATTTAATCTACCGCCCGCAAATCAGTTGTCAGCAGGGATTACTTTTTGTTTTTTGTTGACTACACTCATAATCGAAAGTGTCAAAACGGAAAGTAAAAGTAACTTTAAGCCATCTAGTATTAATGGGGGGAATTAATAAAATATCGGGTTGGTGATGCAGATGTGCCTCTGCTCCCTCAATTATTCAATCAGATGGGTGACTGGGTATTTGCGAGTAAGCGGATGATGTCATCTTACTTTTGTGCATTGCAGGTAGTTGAGACATCATTTTTATTGGTTATGATCAGAAATTGCCACGACCAAAATCGGCTCCGGCATCGGCTCTCGTGCAAAATTTTTTTTGAAAAATATTTTTCCAAAATTTATTAGTGCCGGATGACACAGTACGCAACATACGCCCTTCCCAGTATTTTTCAAGCAATTGATTTAACAAGATCATGAAATTTGAACGCTGAGAAGCCTGACTCCGACTTTGGGCTCAGGAGCCGGAGCCAAGAGCCGGCTCCGGAGTCGTGGCACTCTCTGGTTATGATCAAGGTCTTTGATATTTGATGTTTTGTTTTAATACCTGTTTTTGTTTTAGGATTTGAATATCATAATGCATAAGTTAAATATTCTAAAATCAGATAATGTCAGTCTGTCACTATGGATCACGCCGTTTCGTCGTTTTATGCATGAGAAAGGCTAGAAGAAGGTTTCATTAGTAGAAATAATAATTTTTATCCGGTCACAGGATCGCTTATCGCCTTTTGAGACATTTTATTATACATGTACTCATATCAATAATCCCAAGATAAAAGAAATTAGATCTGGCCGCGATTCAATTCATTTTCTCAGCGCAAAATGCATTCTCTTTTCCCCTTCAGAATGATAGAATCAACCTTTAACTATGCTATTACTATTGACTGATTCTATTGTGCAAGCCGGTACTTACCAAAACATAAAGTTTTTATTTTGAAACTTGTTTTTTGCTAAATTTAGCTAGAATTACATAAGATCCACATCTCTGGTCTAATATACAATCTTCGAAAACCTTCGTAAATACAACCCAGAGTACCGCCAACATGTTTAAAATTGGCCTTAAAGGATAGCTGTAAACGATTTCCCCAAAAAACTACAAAAACAACAGATTATTTTCGATAGCTTTTTGTATGATGGCACAGCCTGTGGCATAAAAGCGGTTGTAAATATCAGTGCAAAAGTTAAGTTTTAAAAAATAGACTTTTGCTGCTATTGTGTGTGTGCTCAAGTACCGTAACCCAATATTCAGCTGGCTATCAAAATATTGAAAATAAGCATTTCACGTTGTTGAAAATTAAAGTCTGCATAGTGCGGGTATCAAACGAGTTAGAGGTCGCCATTTTTTCAACATGGCCGCATAATGCACCGAAACTCCTGTGTCGGAAATCAATCCAGGCGACAATTGTACACCGTGCAGCTTTTATCTTTTGCATTGTGCAAAGAGATTTCCCTAATTTCCTGTAAGAGAATCAGTTCAATCCTCAGCTTTACCCTCTTCGCAGCGCGCTTGCGAGAAGAGGGCCGTCTGTAAACCGCAACCTTTTTGCTTTATACATTCATGTTGCCGACATCAATATTGTTTGCGCAAACTTTATATATTACATATCTGTCTCAACGTTTGCATATTCCTCTGGGAAGAACTGTTCCCCCGCAGTCTTGAGATTGTAGATCAACTGCATTCGCCGTACCAGCAACCGACTGTTGGAAATCAGGAAGCGTGGCCAAATAACAGGCCACCGGAAACTAATCAAAAGTACTTTCAATGTAGTGGTTTGTGTGTCTTCAGACCTTGGTATTATCGTGGTATTCTCGCTCGGGATGGATAATTATCTTAATAAAAACCCCCACATTTGAAATTCTTTGCACTTTCGCGGCCATAAAAAGGCCGCAATTACCGCACCTTCAGAAACGATAATTTTTGGTGTAAAAGAAAATTGAAGGATCGTTCTGGCTGTACTCAACCCTGCTCTTTTATGTAATTATGGTTGGACTTTGCATCAGGATAATTGCCACACAAACACAACAAATGTTTCGCTCGGATTCCCCGAATCTCCGCCAAACATTAATCTCTATCCTTAATCATCGCAGAAATATGAGCGTGAGATCTTTAATATTGCCGCCATTCCTTCGGCTTATCGAATTAAACGTTTTTGGTTTGGATTAGGTCGGGGTCCTTTCCCATGAGTAATATCCGAAGCCGGACTTGCAGAGTGCAAGATGGACGTACCCTCGGATTTTCACATGGGTTTTGGATCCTCGAATCCAACAAAGTCATTAAAAAAACTCCTTTCTTCGCTTAAGATGATCTGGAAACGGTAATAACCCAGGATTAGGGACGTCAGCCGTTTCGTGGGTTGTTTCACGCAAAACGCGGAGTTATTCGTTGGAACGGAGCGGTTGAGCCGCATGATATCATGTTGTGCACATATTCACTATTTTTGTTTCGTCCAAAAACATCTTTACGA